AGTGGAAAACCAGGAAATTACATACATGCAAGTTTTAATAGCTTTAGACAAAAGGCTCAATGCGTTTGTCCTGTTCAACATAGTCACATTGATTTAGCTTTTAAGCTCAGGCAAACAATTCAGAGTTCAACGCTTCCCTTATGGATATTTTTACATGTGGATGACAGAGTGGGGATTGAACTAGTAGCTCTTCAATTATTGGACAACTCTGTTTGAGCACCTGAGCTCCAAATCACTTTGAGGCAGTAATGAAGCAATTAGTTTATTGATTAGCTGATAAAGAAAAGCTAAATAAACAGGGGGCAATTATGAAAAACTTGAAGTCATTCCCAGCTTGTCAATTGTTATTTTTTCTTTTCTCTAATGAGAAGCCCCCAGAATTGAACATTTTTAGAGTAATTTTCAATTTCTGTGGAGAAGGAAAAACATTACTCAGATATGTTCCCAACAGAACATAATGAAAACCAAATATCCCTCATCATGTCTTCAAATTTATCCAATACAATTTCAAATGAACAACATATCACAAGAAACACTTGATTTGATATGTTTTAAGAAGTACACACACAGTTTGATTTATTATCTTGTAGAACCTGATGGTCTGCATGATGTCTGTCTTTTACATTGTTGTTGAAGAATTCTGTCCCTTTTAAAAAAAAGAAACTTCTTCTTTTTACAGATGATAAGTATTAATTTCAGCAGTCTCTTATAGGCTAACACATTAAGGTTGGAAGTGAGCTGTGACGGGTCGGGTGGAACACCTTCTTTCTTTTCTTCGTCAGTGATTCTGCTGTCAAATGGATGGAAATAATATATCTTATATTTTATCAGAGTTGCTGATGACCAATTAATCAAATGCATTTGACAACCATCACATGGTTGCTTATTATCCTCAAATTCCTAAAGATGCCTTCATGATGTATCAAAAAAAATGATGGCATAGTGTACTATGTTAACATGCCAGGTTTCTTTATCTGACTCTGTATGTACTAGGCAAATACGTTTGATTTTTATTATTACTTGGTATGGAAAATTGAGGTAAAGTTGTCAAATATTTCAAATAAATTGCAAAATATGTACTAAAAAATGTATGACCAATCCGCTCTGCAACACTTTCCTGCCATATTTTTCTGTTGATCTTCAGGAAATCTCTGAACAACAGCTATGAAGATCAAAGAAGATAAAATAAACTATGTCTACAGTATGAAAATGCAGTTTCTTATGAGATATAATATAGCGCTCAGTGGTAAGTGTGTCAAAGTCATATAAAGTCAAGCAGCAGCTTTTTCATATTTGAAATCATAATATATAAGGTGCTTTCCATTATTATACAAAAAAAAATCACCTTTATTAAACAACAGTTTCATGCTTCTTCCCGTTCTTCTTCAACTTTATGAAATACTTTATTATATGCACTGAATATGGGTACTATGATGTGTAAAAAAAAATCTATGAACGCAGCCTCTGGTGTAAAATATCAAATCCATTCAGCTAAGCTTGGCTGCTCTCATATTAACATAGAGTGAGATTAACATAATTTAGAAATATTATGATGCTAGAATGAATTCACCTTATAAGATTGTTGATTTCTCTGATGGCCAGAAAAAAAAAGTTTCTGGCTTTCCATCACATTCACAGTGGGGTCTCTGGTGAGCTCACATCACATTCTGCCTCACTTGATTTAATCCACATTACCATAAACTTATAAAGATATCTGGAGGTGCTCTGGCGCAATTTATCTAAAACTTAACCTTTTTTTATTTTCTTTGGGGAGGGTTCTCTCATACGTTTTTCCAAAGCACATATTTTTTCCACTCAGCATATTTAATTATTCTAAACTATGACCACAGGTGGTCTTTGAAGATGCAGAACATGTTTTTAGGGAGTGAATCAAAAGGACTTGAAAAGCAAAAAATATTGGTTTGTTTATCAGTTGAATTCAGCCCAAATTGGCAGTGCCATATTATGCCAAGAATTTGGTTTGTTGAGCCCAAGATTATTAGTAAACCTTTAAAAAGCAACATGTCATCTCAAAATTACAGTTTGTATAAAAAAAAAACAAAAAAAACAAAGTGCATAACACTCAAAAGTCAACGCTGGAGCAAATGAGAACAAAAACTGTAATTCAGTTATCTATAAATCATGACTGCTGCATAGAGAATTACTTTATTCACACTAACCTCAGTAAAATTCAAGTTTCAAGTTAATAAATAAAATTCATACAAGTGGTATAGCAGTGGTGTCTACTAAACTAAAAACCTGAGGGATAGTGGATCAGAGGTTGAGCTGAGACCCCTACAATGGAGGGACTTGGCAGGCACATAAAAAGGGATCGCTCAGATATCCATGAGCCATAGAAATTCAGAAGTCTGTCTAAGTGGTCTCATACACCAGCTGGCAATTAGCAATCAGAAGGATTTGAAGCATCAGTGAATCAGTCTTTTCGGTATGAAACACACCCTTTGCTCTCAGAGTCTTTTTCAGCCAAATTCAACATGTTGAGCAAACATTGATCTTTCAGAAAGACGCATCATTTGGATGGTTTTGTTTAGTTAATTTACTTTTTTGTATGCCAAAACAACATCAACTGTTATTTTTCAATGCGTAAAGCTTCAACCTTTAATTAAAGAAGGCTAGCATGCAATGTTAACAGAATCAGTTAGTTTTCACTCAATTTTTGACAATTACCTGATGACACACAAATCTACTGAATAGCGTACAGACTCCTGCTCCAATCCGCACTGCAAATGTATGCTACCTTTATGCAGGCTTAGATGGTTTGTCATCGTTGGCAGTCAACTTTGAGGTGTGTTCAAGAGTGGTTATTTTTTTCCATACTTTAGTGATGTGAGGAGACACATCAGGGGGTCCTGCTGCTGGCTGGCTCTGTCAAATCAGTTTGGTGTATAAAAACCCACACGAAGAAAAGTGTTACCCTCTCAGATCCAGAAGCTAAAACCACTTTTAAAATAATATTTTCCATATAGTGCACCTTATGAAGATGACTCAAATAGAGGATATTTTCCATTTAATCATAATGGTTGATCAATCAGTACAAATCCATTTAAATACCAGTTCAGACATGCCATCGCTGTAAGCAAACAGTAGACCGGGGTAGATCGGGTTACAAACAAAAATTACATTATCTTATTTTATAAAAGATATTACTTATTTATCTGCAGCATTTTTGGTATCCCTGGTTTTTAATACTGACAGTGGAGTCTGAAAAGTTTGAAAAGACTTCCATTGCACTTCAACCTCATCCTCTCTCCCCAGGCCTTTGAACCTTCCATCCACTGGTTTCATCCATTTTCTCTATATTATTAATGTCTCCTCCAACATCTAACAACACTTGAATGCATGTCCCTCTTCCTCTCTCTTTCAGTCCCCTGCCTCCTCCTCTTCTCTTCTGATTATCTCCTGGTGTCTGTCTGAGCTCTTTCGCTGATAGAGAGCATGCCTGGTTGACACGCCTGGTAATGAGGCTCCTAACACAGATGGCCTCTCCCGCCCTATTCTACTCACTCAGCTCTCTAACACAAACACAATCTATGCAGAAACACTCCCATCCTGACAGGAGCCCCCATCCTCTCCTCTGCAGGAGGTCCAGAGCACTCCTGGGTAAAACACAAGCAGGAGATGCTTCTGAAGAGGAGAAATTGAGGTGGGGTGGGGGGGTTTGCATGACAAGCAATAGATTGTTCTCATCTTTGAAGTGACAGTCAGACACCAAATCCTCACTAAGGCATACAAACAAACTCTACTTAATCTAAATTTTATTTGGTTGGTTTTTCCTTTTTTAAACTAAAAAAACAGGTCTCATATTCGACACTTTGGGTCATGATAAAAAAACAAACTTTGCTGTGCTCACCAGGGTCAGCACCCTGCTGTTCTGCATAATCCACAGATGTCTTTTTTCCCTGCTTTTTTGTATGAAAGACACAACCAGATTTATCCAACACCACAACAAACAAATACAGACAGGGCTTTTAAAACTGGGCACCTCAGGAAGTGGAGCTGGTTGTCTCCTAATTAAAAGTTTAGGAGTTCAACCCCCTGCTCTTCCGGTCCACATGTCAAATTATCCTTCAGCAAATACTGAACCACTTACTGCCTCCAAGTGTCACCGGTATGTGAATGTTAGCGTGACAGAGAAACTACTATTTGTGTTAATTCAAAAGAATCATGCTGTCTGACTCTGGAAACCTTTGGCAGCAACAAACTGGCCAGGTAGAATTGTACATCTATTCAATTCTAAGTGTCTTACTATAAAATCCCAACTGAGCAAGAAGCAGTAATAGAACCCAAACCAATTGACTGTTAAGATAAATTGGTCCTATTCACTAATACATGCTGTGCATTTTTTTGTAAAAACAACTTCTGATGTCACCATGGAATAAGTGCATCCTTACAATTAACCCACTTCTAAATCCAAAATCAGCTTGGATAGGATAAGAACACGGAGGATTCCTATTGAGGTGACATCTGTCTGCCTTTAGTCAGCAGGGACAGCCTGCTATGAGAGATGTCAAAGTTCGAGCACTTCACTTGATTTGTGAGTCTGAAAATAACAACAAATTCATCTGCGATTGCTTTGACCCCCCCAGGTGTTTCTCGGCGTCCTTTCCAACACGACACAAACAACTCAAACAAGAAGGCCAGCACTTTGCCTCCACGTGCGTCCTCGAAAGCACGAGTTAAAAGTCGCTCCTTCACAAATGTGTAGTTTTTCCTGCTTTTTGTTGGAAACTCGCAACTAATAGTAACACAAGCACTCAAGAGTAAAAGCGTATTCCTAAAAAAAAAAAACACTTCGTAGTTTCTTACACTTCGTGTAATACTTTTAAGTTACTTCGGTTAATTGGTCAAAGCTGCCACTTGGCCGCTAATTAGCTAATTAAAGTCAGTAGGGACGACTTGAACGACTTTTAAATTAGGTGTTTTGTGGTTTCGCGGGTCACTCCGGTGTGTGGATGCTTTCTCGGTGTGTGGTGACTTACCCCTCTGCTGGGCATGGCAGCATTGCCATAGAAACGCGGTAATAAGAACGGGCAGGCTTCGCTTCATTTTTTTTGTTGTTGTTGTCCTGTCGGTTCGAAGCCGGCTGGCGCGCGCTGCTGAGTCCGTGTCGTCGTCTCGCGCGCCTTTGAGGGTGACTGAAAAGTTTCACATAAGTTGAGCCAAACTCTGGCATGCCGCAATTCCTCCTCCTCTTCCTCTCTCTATTCTCTCCTCCTTCTCTCCAGATTGTAATTTAGGAAGGGGGGAGATAGATAGATAGATAGATAGATAGATAGATAGATAGATAGATAGATAGATAGATAGATAGATAGATAGATAGAAATAATATTCTACTTTACTTCTAAAATGCACAATCAAAAAGTTTGTTAAAACAAGTTTTGCAGTTTTACAATGGAGGAAATCACATGTGACACCACCTGAGTTTTGTGGGTACCACAGACCAACCGGTGAAGAAGTTTGTGGATGTGGAAGCGTTGAAAGTATTAAGACAGCACACAGGAGTACATCTGGAATCCATGGAGTCCCATACACTCCTGTTCTATGGCTCCTCCTGCTGCTCCACACAACTCACCACACATCGGGGCAAAACATGGCCACCCCCGAAAAACACTCTCTGGAAGGTCAATGTGGCTTCAACAAAGCTTCTTCAAAGTTTGCTCAAAGTCTCTCGTGATTAAAAAAACCCCACCCAAATGATGTTGAATATTGTTGATTGAATCAAACAGATGTGGATGTAATGGCAGTCCCGCTTTCCCCTAAATTCATGTGTGCGCCTCGTGCCTGTTGAAGGCCATTAAAGATGTTTACTTCCTTCCTGCTGAAAGCGCAGGCATATTATAATGTTACAGCTCAACAACTTGTCAGTCATTTACCCACCTGTTCATGTACGTTTTTGTGCCGATGCGTTTAAGTGAGTACATTTCAGAACCCCCTTTTTTTGCACATTTACTTCGTGGGCAAACTATTTGAGTGTCTGGGTTTGCAGGAGTGTCAGTTAAGACCAAAAGACTTTAGGAGACAGAGAGGCTTGGAGGGCAGGAGCGGCGGCTGAAGATGGGCTCTTATCACTGGGCTCAAAGCCCAGGGAAACCCTGGGGTGCTGCTGGGTCTTTGTGGGGCTGGGCAGTATCAAAGCTACACCTGGACTGGACAACACGGTAAGCTGAATTGACAGATATATTCAGTTAGCTATAGTTAGTTTAGTTTACCACTGATTTACAGTTACTCAAGAGCTTACATCGTCACCCAGTTGTGGAGGTAATGCTTTCAAATGAACGTCCGTACGGAGTGTCAAAGTAAACCGACATGCAAAGTTGTTGATATTTATCAATGTCTTAATTTCTGCAAAGTTCATGGAGCAATAAATGGAATTACTCACTAAAAAAGTGTCTTCCTTAACAGGATCTTTCAAGAGGATGAGGAGATGATGGTTCTGACCCAGAGAGATGAGTTGAACCAAACCTACTGCGAGGATAGCAGATTACCCACCGACAGCATCACAAACAGATATAGTTCGTGCAGCAAAAACAAACCATTATCAAGAGAGACCTGCCTCCTTCTGACACAAAAGGAGGATTGTGGTCAGGCGGAAAAACTTGCCCCAACCATGAGGGGAGCCGCCTGCACTGCCTGGCAGGACAGTGTAGCTTTTAGAGAAACCAGACCTGCTGTAATCTCCACTGGAAGCAAGAATGTCACAAAAACTGAGGCTGTTTCCACAGCAGACTCGCTTTTGGTCAAAAGCACCAGAAGCCCCGGCAACGAAAAAAGATCTTCTGACCAGCAGCAACACAACAATGAGGAGACCGCGTGTTTCCGACTCACTGGGCCATTTAAAGAGGATGGTGACAAAGTGAGGCTTTCTGAAGGAGGACAGCACCATGAACAAGGCCTGGAAGCCACAGTGGGTACTTCTAAGCTCTCGATAGGGTTTCAAAAAGAGCAGGTGAGTACAGGTTTGGCTCCTCGTGCTCAGAGCCCCAGCACCAACGACACAGTTCAGAGTCCCCCTCCCATGATCACCACCTGGGAAGCTGGCTGGAATGTCACTAATGCAATACAGGTATGCTGAGAAGTCTTTAATGTGTTAAACAAATTTCCTCACATACATAGATGTGAGTGTAAGACTACAGTGATCTCAGTCCTTCTGCAGCCTGATGTAATGTTTAACACATATCAGGGTTGGTATGTATATCTAAGGATCTCTCCTCCCTTTATATCTGCCTCTCACTATACATATGTACAGAAAGAGAAAGACAGTCTACCTTTTACCCTGATGTATGATATACAATAAAAACTGAGACTCAAAAAGATATATGGAGCCGTAAGCACCGACAAAGGACATTTAATTATTTTCCTTTGTATTACCTGATGTCGGGGTCTTAACATGTTTGCTGAGATAGGACTAATTCAACAGTGTTTTGAATAGACTGAGGAATTCATTTCTCAGTTTCCATCAAGCTATCTCATAACAATGGCACATCAGTCATTGTAAAGCCAAGAATCATCCCTGACATTAATGTTTAAAGGAAATGATTAAATCATGCGGACGAGGACTTATAAATTATTTCAACACTAATGTGAAGAAGGCTCGTTCGTTCATGTCTACCGGACCATGACAATTGATGGACATGAGGGTGAATTTAGACGTGTCAAAGTTGTTGTTTGTTATTGTCTGCAGTCCAGTTGTGAAATACGAAGACCAACTGTTTTTCTTTGACTAAAAGCTAGTGTTTGCTGCAGCTTTTCCTTTGTTCATTCTCTGTGCGTCAGTCATCTTTGTTTTCCAAATATAAATGCCAAACCTTTAGGTCTTAAGGCTCTTTTCTCTCAAGAAAGCATAAAGCATTTCTCATAGCATTTGCTGGCATTGTCTTATATTTTTTCATTACTAAACAATGCTTTAACATCTCACAGGCAGTTTGTCATGCACTCATCATCCTTCATAATCAGATTAAATGTGAATCAAATAATTCTTTCGGATAACATGAAAATCTTCCGGTCACAGCGTGTCCTCGTTGCAGTAAAGCTAATAGCTCATTATATTGTGAATGCTAGGCTGCGTTCAACCGCTGCATTCATGTAAATGAAGTGAATGACTGCTGTAATTACACAGTGTCACTGGGTCTTTACAGAATCACTGTGAAATACGTGGCATTGACATGAGGCCAAACACAGTGATGCGTAATACACAAATGCTGACAATGCATTCAGAGATACTCTGAATACTTTTGGTACTGAGAAGAATTACCGTCTAATGTTTTTGTACTATTACTTTAAATACACTCTTTAAATCACTGCTAATGCTAGTGTTGCCATCTAAACACATATCTCAACATATGATAATCAGTAGATGAACAATTAAAATATGTGGTTATTAATGCAAGTCTGCTCATATCAGTGCCAACATTTTGTTAGTTTTCCTTCAGGACCAAGTTTATGTGCCAGGAAAGCTGCGAAAACTTGGTCTCATGCATGTGATGCATTCAGAATTCTTGACTGAAACTCCCCTAACACACCCATGGGTTTTTATCAAAGTGATAACTCTCACATCCAGTGATGTGATGTGCCTCCAGAACTGGAACGTGAATTCAATCGTTTCCATCTTAAATTCGATTTTTCCGAATGCATTGTCTTATTTACAGTGTTAGTTTTTTTTCCTGGGGGTATCAAGATGTTAATCTTGAATACTATAGCTGGTCATTTTCCTGAATCACGCTGCCATCGGTGGCCTTAAACAAATGTTATATTATTTTTTTCTAAATCTTCAAATGTCCGACTTTAGATGCTTGTTTCAATTGCACATGTCAAAACGTAGTCACCAAAAAATAAGCAAAGAAAGAAAATGCAGATGATGTTTAAACCTTTTTCAGTGCCATGATCCTGGATGCCGTTTTAGGATTAAGGATGTGTCAGTGCTTGAAAAAAAGAGCAGTGTTTTTATTTCCTATCAAAGCTGAGAAGAAAATATGTGTTTTCCTCTGGTCTTTTATTGATGCCAATATAAATGACTATCTGCCAACTAAATAAAGTTTTTATTGCAGAATGTATTGCCAAGTAGACAGAAAAAAGCACACCTCCATCTCTAGAGAGTTTCATCTTGGGAATATTTTAAATCTCAGTTTGATTTCCATTCCGACTGTTGATGAGGGACTTCCAATTCGTGTGCTTTCAACGGGAATTGTGTCATTTTGACTCAAAGATAGACTGAAATTAATTGAAGACTCTATGATTTATGAAGGATTTTTCTTTTTTCTTTTCTTTTTTTTTCCATCGTTGGCTTTGAAAAGTAAAAACTCAAACTCAAACCATCATGGAATGAATGTCCCCATTTCTGTCCTGGAAAGGATCCAGTTTTCATTCCTATTTAGTCTTATGTATGCATATTTTTATACATACATACAAAGTGTTGCATTGCCCATTAACTTTTTCAAATATAAAGATGCAAACATCAAATCTTTTTTATAATTTCATTGCTCCAAGTCTTAGTTATAAAGCAGTTATAGTGTAATTCTATTCAGCTATGTCATATAATATATAATTCATTATCACTATTGTCAAAAGTGTTGGGAAATGAATAGCAACAAAACATCTTATCATTAAATCAGGAATGATTTTCACTGTGACACTGTGTGAAAAGTAAATATGTCCTCTTTCCAATAGGAGACCAAGTCTTCCTTTCTTCCACTGACTACGAATGGTATTACCTTGGTAAAATTCAGACATAGGATTTCTGTCATGTCTTTTTTTTAATTAGCATTTTTAGTTATTTAAATGTCAAACATTTCTGTTTCTGCTCACGTCAGCTCTACCTTAACCCCCTCATACGCTCTACCATTATTTCAATGGACAAGGCATGTCTTTGCATAAAATTTGGGACATGACCAGGAGGGAAGCACCGGATGTTTTTTTGCACTTGATCGTCCAGATGTGGAGAAACAACTGCATATTGTTGTCCTCCTAAAATATCTTTGCTGTTTGCAGAGAGTGTAAGATATGAAAGGGAGTACGGTCTGTGCGGATGGCAAATATGCCTCAGACAAGCAAGTATCAGTGAAGGCTTGGCTGTCACATTTTGGAAAGATGAAGGTGAAGAAAAAAAGATTAATCTTCTTTCGACTCAATCAGGGATTTCTTTATTCTCTTATTATGTGTCCCTTTGTGATTGGGGGCTGCTTCAGGTTTTGCTCAGAGTAACCAATTAACTGGCAAAAACACACAGAGAAGGAGAGGAGCAGAGAGGGGGGGGAGATGAAATCAAATACTTGAGCGTCAAACTGCTTTCATCCCCAGAAGCTCCATTTGAACATCAAAGCTCTATCAGCATATGCCTAACAGACAGCAGTTACTAAACAGTAACTTGAAAGAGAGAATGTGTGCTTGTCTGTTTATTCATCCGCAGTGCGCGCTTGTGTCTGCCACGTATGATGTGCTTCCACAACTCTCTCGGCGAGTCCAAGCATCTCCATGTTCCAACATTCGAAACACAACAACTCCATCAAAGTGGCGTGTTGCCTCCTCTGATCTCCCATCATCCAGCCCTCTGCTCTCTAGCAGTGGGGCTGCAGCACTCCTTCCACTTTCCCCCTCGCTGTGTCCCTCTCCTCCTCTCGTCTTTCCTCTTGTCTTCTCGCCTCCCACTTTCACCTCCCTTGCATCTCCCCGGTCTTCTCTCGCTGGCAGCCACCGGCGTTTTCTCTTGGTGACGGGCCAAAGCTCGACTTGCCTCTTCCTTCTGCTCCTGCTGGTCTCCTGCATCCTCAGACTCTCCCAGGCGTCGCGCCAAAACCCTTCTCTCGCCTCCTCATCATCCAGCCATGAACAGTTCTTTCATCTCTTTCCTCCTCTTTTTCCTGCTCAGCTGTCCCAATTCCGTGGTTTTGGAATTTTCACAGTTTACTAATTTAAGCTCTGCTTTTTCAAGATATGTGACCATCCTGTGACTGGCTTTGACCAATAATACCCACTTACTGTTTTTTTTCTCATCTTTATTTCATATTCAGACATAGTTTATAGAAACCTTCACAAACGAATGAGCATTAAATTATGAGCTGATCTTGAATGCACATGTTCACAAACATTACACATTAAACATGAATTCATGCAACATCGTTGCGCTTTTGTGGAATTTTTTAGTGTGGAGAAGAGAAAAGGTCATTAAAAAATATTCAAAACTATGTGCACCACAGTTTTTGTTGACTTTGTTGTTGTAATCCTTCCTTTTTGTTTTTTGTGCTCTCTGTTCTTTTTCTGGAACCCAAAAAGGGGATCTTTGTGTTGGGTTTACCCTTTGCTCTGCTCCAGTCGGGCTACATGGGGCTCGTACTGCTGGTTGTGTCTGCCTGGGTCTGTAATCACACAGGGAGGAGTCTGGTGGCCTGCTTGTATGAAGAGCCAAGGTACGGATATGAACTCTATTATTCTCATTTACTGTCAGTTATATCCCTGAATAAGAAAGTGCTGAGTTCTCTTTTTTAGAACACCAATTTATCAAGTGACAAGGTGTTTGCATGTTCTAGCGGAGGGTCGGGCACGTCGTCAAAGGTTCGAGTCCGACACAGCTACCAGGACATTATGGAGGCCTGTTTCAAAGGCCTGTGGCCAAACTGGTCAAGAGTGGGAGGCTGGATGATCAACATAGCTCAGGTACCAGCTGGTCTTTCAAAAAAACGCACAAGTTATTCCAGAAAAATACCTGTCCAGTAAATCATTCAGATACAATCAAAATTAAAAAGTGCTTTGGTTTACAATCCTAAAAAAGAGGACAATTAAATGTTGAATGTCTTTCATTGAATTCATGACTTTGAGATGTGTATGAGCGATGAAATGATCTAAAGAAATCTTTAGTTGTACCGTCGACATGCAGTAAAGAAATGAGGTGGAAATCTCTCTGCGCAGGTCATCGAACTGCTGATGACCTGTACGCTGTACCTCCTCGTCTCCACCACCCTGTTGTGCGACAGTCTTTCGGGAGTGGCTCCCCCCAGAACGGTCTGCTCGCTGGTGTCTCTGGTGTTCCTCCTGCCGTGTCTGATGCTGACCAATCTCAGACCAGTGTCCACTCTCAGCCTGCTCTGCTCCCTGGCTCACATTCTGATAAGGTAACAGAACTCAACGAGAGAGGGAGACACATTTTTTTGACAAAGCAGTGAAATTTGGAGGTTAACCAGAAAAGAAAAAGAAACTCACCAGTCATTTAAAATGAAGATAGTTGAGCAGTCATTTTAATCTACTCATTTTCACTCTTGTAATCCTGTTGCAACTGCTGCTGGTTAAGCTGTCTGCTCTCACCTGCTGCACGCTGCTGTTGCTGGTTGTTTGATTCGTTCCTTATGCCAGGGGCCCGAGCCAAAAAGCGCAGGGGCTCGGTCTACGCGTGAGATTGTTGGCTGCAGGAGTTCTCTGGCTTTGTGATCTTAATCAGAGACGGATACGTGCCACATCCCAGTTCACGTTTTGATAGTTCAGTTATCACACCTGCAGAGAAATATCTTGTGTTTTTCGTGCCACGATACAGTTTTATTGAAGATTGCAAAGAATTATTTCGATTTGTCTCAGGCAAAATGAGCCTCGTTTTATGGAATCATGTCGGAGTTTCCAAAATGATAAAACTGGGAAATTGAAACGCGGTGATCCAGCTCTGTAATTTTTGTAAATAGAGATTTAAAAAAACATTTGCAAAAAACAACAATTATACAAAAATGTATGTCATCTTTTCGTAAACAATCATGTAGACTTCTAAATTTGAATATACATATTCATATTTATTTATACTTTATTTTAATTTCATTTCATTCATACAAGAAAAAAGCATTTCATAGATAAGTCACATGGTTTATAAAGCATCCCTCGCTCCTTTCTTACCCCTTGTATGCAATAGTGGCTCAAGACTTCCTATCGGGAAATGAGACAACCATAATCTCTACATTTAGACAATGTTTTTTCTTAATTTTTGCCTAATTATCAACTCATTTAGATCCCATGTTTTTATTTTACACCTTGACTTTTTGTGGCATTGCAGAGGGAGTGAACAACCCAGCTGTCAATTATTTAAGGAAGCTTTGATTTTTCTCATCTCACTTCTCTTTCAGCTTGCTAGTCATGCTGTACTGCCTGAGTTGTGCCAGCAGCTGGTCGTGGTCATCTCTATCCTTGTCGGTGGACCCAGAGGACTTCATTGTCTCCATAGGCGTCATCATCTTCTCCTATACGTCGCAGATCTTCCTCCCTCCTCTAGAGGGCAGTATGGAGGAGAGAGGGCAGTTTGACACCATGCTGGAGTGGACACATGGAGCTGCCTGCATTATGAAAACATTATTTTCCTTAATGGTCTGTTATAGCTGGATGAAAAATAATATATTCATTATATTGATATACAATATAGATAAGGGGAGAAAACGGGGGCATACAATAGTATTGATTAATTGCCTTGTTTAACTGACTTACTGTGTCCTTTTAGGCAGTGTTGACCTGGGGGGCAGAGACCAGTGAGGTCATCACTGACAACCTGCCCTCTGACCTCCGGCCTCTGGTCAACCTGTGCCTGCTGGCTAAAGCTCTGCTTTCCTACCCGCTACCCTTCTATGCTGCTGCTGAGATCCTGCAAACCTGTTTGCTCAGAGGTGAAATTAGAAAAAAAAAAGAATTACATTTCCAAACCATTCAACCAAAATATTGGTTTTATACAGAACCCTAACGTTTGATCAGATATCGCACTGAACATGTGAACACAGTCTAATTTCAACTTCTCTGCTTTAATCCTTTCCAAGGTGCAGCAGTTTCGACTCACTCCAGTCCCAGTGGCTGTGGAGTGTCTCGTCCAACGCTGATGGTTCGTGGCGCCTTGTTGATGACGTCATACTTACTGGCCCTGTTGGTTCCCAGGTTCTCTCTTCTTATGGGCTTGACGGGAAGTGTGACCGGGGCAGCCATGACGCTCATTCTGCCCTGTCTGTTTCACCTGAGACTGCAGTGGGGGCGGCTCACTGTGAAAGACAGATTCATAGATGTGGCCATACTGAGTCTGGGAGTCACGTGTAGTGTTTCCGGTGTGATTTGTTCAGTGAAGAGACTGGTGAAAAGTCTGTAGCACGGACTGGGAAAAGGGAAGCCGTTCATTTTGATGGGATGGGCGAAACATACGAAACATAATTTCACAGACAAAGCAGAGTCTTGAGCAAAATTGTTCCCCATAAAAAGCTTCTCTTTTATAAAATGACTAACATGTAAATGAACACGTTGAAATCTGTTTAAATTGACCTGTGAGATGAAACCAATCAGAGGTGATCCCACATTTTGTTATGTTTCATCTGTCTGTTTTTTTATTAGAAATTTTGACAGTTAAGCTTGCAAAAGTTAATTTCTGTTAAATTAACAAGAGTGTGTATTCATAATGTGACCAAAATGTTATAAATGAGTCAAAAAAGAAACCATTAACAAACTTCATATCCAGGGAGGGACAAGGAAAGCTTCCCATAAACTACAGAGGAAATTCTAAATACAAAAAAAATACAAGTTCTGATTTCACAATCCATCATCTGCAATGAGAAAAACTATTAGCACACATCCAATAAAAGCTATTTACAATTTTTTTTTTTAAAAATAGACAGTAGATGCAACCCAATAAAATTGTGATGACTTTTCCAGATTTCTCTCATTTCTCTGCGTACAGTTTGCAAACTGCTCATTGTAGAATTCACAATGTACTGACATACAAAAACTAAATGTTGTAGTTACCATCAATGAACCACAAATACGAAATATAAATCAATACAACAGAGATATGTTTCTTTCTTATAGATCCATCAGTCACCGGTGGAGAGGTTTGTGACATTCTATTAACAAAACCATCAAAACCCTCAAATCTCATTTCTCATGCTGTCTTATTTGTGAGAGGAAAACATTTAGGACTGACCACGACAACAAAGGACGGACTTGTTTTTCTTTCAGTAGGAAATTGTCACAGAAATGGTAAAACACAATGTTAAGGAGGTCCCAGGTTGATATGCTGCAAATGTTGCAATTGAAAACTGGACCTTTGTTTTACAGTAGGAAGACAGTATTAGATCAGTATAGCAACAAGATGGAAAAGAAGGAAAGTTGGTCTAACCATAAAAACGTGCAACATTGTTATAAAGTAATTTACAATATGTATTCCTGTCTTTATTATGAAATGTAAAATCTTTAGGTTGTGCTTTGGCAGTTGTCTGCGCATTTCTGGTGCTATACTGACAGTTCACGGACCAAACAAAATTGTGGTCTGACACTGTTGTTCATTGATTGGATATAAAGTTAAAAAAATGCAATTGAATGATCAAAACTGTGTGATATTGCGGTATCAGAAGCCAATGAACATGGCTGCTGATGCTGCATTGACATGAAGAGGAAATTGACATGGCTTTCCCAAATCAGCCAAGAGATTATCTTACTCAAGACCTTATGCAGCTACCTACCTCGGTAGATGTTTGAAAGATGTCCTGAAACTTCATCTGGCTTGTTTTGATTAGAAGGAATGGGGGATTCATCTACAAGCCCTTCCTAAATGAGTGATCTCATCATCTCCAGAGGATGGAACGGCCTGCTTTATTGTCCAGCTTCTGTCTCCTTATCGCATCAGACATGTACAAAGTCACCATCCGCATCGCACGATCTGCTGGTCAGACTTCCTTTTCATTCTTCCCCCACATTTGTGAACAAGACCCAGGCAGAGACATCCTCCACTTAAAGCAGACAGTGGCCACCGATCTGAAGTGAGCAATCAACCCTTTTCTTACTGAAGATAATGGCCTCAGACTTACAGGTGCTAATTATCATCCTGACTGCTTCACACTTGCCTGCAAAGGCAAGAGCAAAAGCTTTGTCCCGAATGCTACATACACCTAAAGAAAATCAAAGATGATCTAAGTAAGTGGTTGGTATTTACCGATCTTAGAATTCGTAACCCAGACAACAAAACAACAGTAAAGCACACACCATGACAATAGATGCTTTGGAAACCTTTAAATAATTTCAACAAATCTAACAAAGAGACAGTAGATCTCTTATATTTTGATTTAAAAAAGTATTTCTTCAGCATATGACTGAGAAGCAGACAGTTGTAACTGTCTTGTGCAACATGAACTACAACTGAAGCCCCTTTAAAGGAAGAACAAACCAGTAATATTTGGCATTTGTCTCCACTGGGAAAGGTTTTCTATTGACATTCAGTTGAACTACTCTGTGGTAGTTGCTGGTATTTTTTCAGCAGTGCTGTGAACATGACATCTGAGTGAGTACCATAATTTTCACTAACCATGCTGAGGAGTGGGCTGCAAGAGTGCGCGGAGCTAACTTTTCCTTTCGCCTAAGACGTGAGCATTGACAAAAAGGTCACACAGGAAGGCTCGAAAATGGGAAAAAAACAAAAAAACCCAAAACAAACAGATAAAAGAAGACTTGATGGATCAGGTTTAGAGTTTGCACAGCAACTGGCAGCCCACACTCTTGGTCCGGCTCCAGCTCATTCCTGCAAAGAGTGAAGAATAATTAAGCACCTCTGCGACGTTGTGTCGAACCGCTGAACTGCACACATCATTGTTCTGCCTGGCAGCTGTAACCGCATTAAACCTTAACACGTAAGCCTTCCACTGTGTCGGTAACACAACACTGTGGCACGTAGGTGCCGCCTGAAAGTAAAGGGGTAGCAGAGAGAGACAAAGTTCATCTACTGTTGACACACTGGCATGCCCACAAGGGAGGTAGAGAACACAACTGTGCTGTCGCTCAGCTCATTCTGCAATCATATTTACTTGTGAGCATACGGTGACTCCACCGGCATGAAACAACAATAAGTCGATCTTAAATATGTCAGTTGAAACAATTCTCTCACAATAAAATGTTAATTAGTCCATTAGGGTGTTGAAAATACATGTTCATTAATCCTGACAAAAAATGTGCGTCGCCATGGAACCTTTGGAACCAAATTTTCTCCCTAATTGCCTGTTTTTCCACAATTTGTGTAAGATTCTAATGTTACAGGATCACTTTACTAAGTTAGAACCCACAGACACACAGAGAGCTGAGAGGGTGTGAAAAGTTTTTAATCTCATGCACCTGTCACGGCCATTCAAAGACATTTATGATACGAACGTGTGTGTGAATGTGTGTGGGCAGGCCTAGTAGAGATCAGTTACATATGGTGATGTCCGCCCTGTGCTTCAATCTGACTGCCAGTGAAAACTGAAACAGCTTGCCGAACACAGGGATCGATGTTCCAAATGCGAGCGGAAATTGCACAACTATAATGTGGAAAAGTGAATGGTCCAAGACAATAACTGAATCAAACTTTTTATCCTTTTTATCATCAAAGCTGCTACGTTTCTTCTCTTTCCAAGGAGCATTGTGCAGCTCTGAGCATCAGGGATTTGCTCAACTGTATTTTAAATTCGCACACTTGTCAAGTTTTGCGCTACACTGAAACTACTTGCAGGGGCCGGCATTTGTGACCTGGTCAAGACATTTCCCCCCAATCAAATTCTAACAGTGTGACAAGTTTGGGTCGGCCTGGCCTTGAACTGCAGCATGACCGCTGTGATGTGCCTGCTAAATCCTGCCCAGTCAGGGACAATTCATGGCACCCACACTTCTCACGGTGAAACGCAGAGTGTCTGGAATGCTGAAACTTCAAGTGTAAAGAAGAAAACACAGACAGAAAGTACGCCTCCTAACACTCGCTACAGTATTACAGTTTTTCCACATTAAAACAGAGACTGATGGCTCTTTCAGCTCTGTGAGTCTCCTCTCGTGGTGCTTCAAGCCAAATGGTTATCTGTTTGATGTAACAGCACCAGATGGGGGGTTGAACAAACAAAAGATCCACCAAAACATGACTCAATTATCTATTCGTGTTGCTGACTTTTATATTCAATGTTAACCAGTGAACAAATTCAGATGATTTTGTCCACTGCTCGTCATTTGGCCGTTAAACACGAACTGCAGCTTTCAGGGACGTTGTTTTGTCAAAAATCTTTTGGACTAACCGAAATCAATTCCTCGAGAATATTTTATGTTTCTGTCATCTTATTTTAATCACTCATGCTTTTAAAACATTAAACCACAAACAAAATCAACATAGTTTTTATGAGAGCCATATTAGATTAACCAGTGTACCTTTGGTGCTTTGAGCGGAGGACACTGATTTATGCACTGATTTATAATAAAAAGGGTCAAAATAGCTCATTATCATGGCCTCTTTGATGATAAACAACACCACAACGTGTGACATTGGACTTATGCTTTGTGCTTAAGATCTAATTGACTTTAATTCATCTGTAATATGTGAATGGGATGTTCCGCGTCATCCTGTGTCAGACGGGATTGTTGTTTCAGGAGCTAATTATGCTAAAGTATGCACTCAGCACACTATGAGCTGATCTGAATAAACATTTCCACTGCATTACATTTACGATTCATGGTGGCAATCCTTCAGCTCAGTTCAGTTACTATGATATATACAATAAAATTTTAATGATACCAGAGAGATACAAATATTCAGAGTAATTTGTCTCATAACTATTAATTATTTCTGAATTTCAAATATTTGAACTGATTAGAATAAAAGGAAATTAAATACTACGCAACAGAAACAATAAGTTATTGGTCCTTGATCACTTATAAACCAGACTTCGATTCTTCAGAGGTGCTGAAGAAGCTCCATTGTTTGTTGTGATTTACAAACTGATCCACAACAACTACAGTTTCTGAGTTCATGTATTTATTCTTTGGCGTGTTCCACAAATAGGAAAATAAACCACTGAAGCATTAAGAGCCTTTAGCCTGGGATAGCTTATCCCATTCATCTTTGCTGAATCAATCAAGCTATTTCAGGATGGATGGAGAAAAACATTCAACGTCATTTTAAGGTATTCACTGAAGCGCTGTGTGATATTCAAGTGCAGCTTGTTGACAGACCACCTTTGTGGTCCTTAACAATCTTTTTGTCAAACTCACAAAGGTTTCTGGGTTATTCTCTTGCCTTGGTTTTCACTCTTGCTTACACTTAACATAGAAGTCACCACACTGACTCTGAGATCCTTCTCAATTGGAATTGGA